TCCACCTATGAATATGTTTATTACGTTGCAACGCGGCCACCTGATGCAAAAAAGAAATTTGGCTCGCGTGTGGCCGGCCAGGTACCGGCACGTGCTGTCAAGATGGATAAACGTCAGTCGCGGCTTCGCATCGTCCCGTATCCTTTGATCCCGATACAATTATATCGCCAAACACGGGACTGTTTAGTAATCGCTGTTTAACGACGCTCGTTAACGGAGATATCCTGGTTTCGAGACGTCGAAGAACTCGAACTTATTTTGTTGTTGCGTTTACCTGGTCATTAACGTTTTCGGGGTATCCTCGATGTCTCGGGGTGACGTTGTTAAAATCGTTAATTATTGGATTGGTGAGGGAGAAATATTGAAGTTTGATGGAGATAAAATTAGAAACTTTGTATGAATAGCTAATTAGGTAGTGAGAGATTGATCAGTGGAAAATATTCGAATATTTGTAAATATGTATGCGTTGACGAAATCCACTTTACGGTTGAAGTATTACAGTTGGTGTTTCGAAACTAGTACGAGAAGCATGTAATAAAATTTCGTTTTTCATAATGAGAAACTCCAGTTTGCGGATACGTTAGGCACATCTAAATTAAAGTACCGTCGATTGATGTAAATTTATGTAAATTATATTCACCGATCCGTAAGATACGTCGATAAACGTTTTAAAGAACGATTTTGTTTGTTCCTGATCTACCTTTACACCGTACATGGATTGAACTGTAATTTCATGCTTATGCAAGAGGAAAATACGCTTTATGTTTAACGAAAACAAATATTAATCAATAAAATTGCCATTTTATTCGACAGTCTTTCATCATCATTCTTTACTACTTTCACAAAAAAATATTCCCATTACTTGAAATGTAAGCAATCTTCGTTGATAGCGGCAATTTAAACGGTAAATCAGTCTCACTCGATTTATTCGAAACGGAATCCACGTACGAAAATATTTCATTTAAAAAATAGTAAGCGATATTCGACAACAAATTATATCAGTGAAAATACATGAAAAAAGATCACACGCAGTGGTATCATAAATCAATTTTCCCATTACATGCGATCGGTAGGCAGACCCGGAGGAATTCCCTTTCCTAAAAAAGAAACTGCGTAATAACTGAAATGAAACGGAAATACCAGCGAGCTTCGTTTTAAAATTGAATCAACCAGCCGTCTGTTTCTCATTATTTCACCGGGGAATCAGTGTGTTTTGGTTTGGGTCAGGTAAACGGGATAGGTTCGCAATTTACGCAAGCCCCAAAATGGGTAATAAAAATTGGACCTCGTTTGGAAAGTACACGGATCGGTGCAGAAAAATCCGTCCGAGCGGATTGGAACGTTTTATAACAGGCGACGGATCAATGGGCACCAATAATAAGGCGAAAGTTATATTGACGACAATCGGCCCCGATTGTTATTGAGACGTACAATCGAGTTTTCAGCAGGCGAAGTACAAGCGCAGCGAGTAAACTCGAAATAATCTCGGAGACACGCCGGAAAGTGTTACCTGGAAGAGAGCTGAAAACGAGGGGGTGCAGGCTGTGGTGCAAGTCGTGGTTGGGGGATGCAGCGCGGCAGGGGTGGACGGAAGGTGGAAATTGTTCACAAATCTAATTGTACGACGCGCCTTTGTACTTCGTCCTTATTGTTCTACTTTGTACCTGGATGTTTTATTGCGGCCCATTGTGGCCGCCTTAACCGTGCAACGTAATTAATTCTGAGTTTCAATTTTCTTTTCCTGGGGAATCATTCACGGGCGAAGGGCGGCGACCTCGAATATTCCGTTCCACTACGACTTTCTTCAATGATTCTAGCGATACATATGTAATTGCATAGTAATTATACACATCTTTTACATAACTGTTTAGTTTTTCCTTGTGCTCTTTTTCTTTTTTGCTACGAGTAATACATTGTTACAC